ATTAGAGGAAGACTAAACAAGTATAATTTATTTGGAAGGGATTCCAGGAGAAAACCTCTTCTCTCTAAAGAGAACATGGCAGCACAGCTTGCGTTTGCATGCTTTCATCTGAACAAACCACGACTTCTAGAACCATATTTGGAATAACACAGGATAGAGAGCATACAGCACAAATACCTCATACCAAACTGTCAAGCACGGTAGTGGAAGTGTGATGATTTGGGTTTGTTTGGCACCTACAGACCTGGACACATCCTCTTTATACCAAAGTATTCTAGTGACAAATGTGAGGCTATTTGACTGTCAGCTAAAGCTGGCTGGAAACTGGAACCTACAGCAGAATAGTGGTGGGACCTCAAGAGAACTGTGCACAAACGAATGCCTGCAAACCTCAGTGAATTGATGCAAAGTTGGAATGATAATGTAACAGACTGATAGTCTCTAGCAAGTCTTACGGAAAATGATTACTTCAAGTTATTACTACTAAAGGTGGTTCTGCAAGCTCCTAAATCACGTACTTAGTTTTTCTAGTACTACATAGAGCCCTGTGAATTATATAGACAGATATCAAGAGAGATAAGTACACTGCTGAAAATACAAAGAAACATTTTTTAATCAGAGTATAGCATCAAATTAGTTAAACTTCTGGGACACTGATTCGGTCAGTCAAGTGGCAGAGGGAGTCGTTAATCCGTTTCAGTGGTTTTAAATCAGGAATAGTTTTGCTGACATTTTTTCCCTCCACATCTTTTCTGGCTGGTTTTCAGTAGTTTTGTATTTAGCTACGGTGAGCGTCATTACTGGTAGCATGAGAAGACACGTGGAGCGTAGAGAGGATGCACAGGTAGTCCAGCTTATCCAAAACGGCACATCAACACGTACCATTGCCAGAGGTTTGCTGTGTCTCCGAGTACAGTCTCAAGAGCATGGAGGAGATTCCAGGAGATAAGCAGTTACTCTGGGAGAAGTGGACAGGGCCGTCAAAGGCCCTTAAACTATCAGGAGGACCGCTATCTGTTTCTTTTTGGAAGGAGGAACAGGATAAGCACTGCGAGAGCTACAGAATGACCTCCAGCAGGTCACTGGTGTGACTGTCTCTGACCAAACAATCAGAAACTGACTTCATGAGGGTGACCTGAGAATCTGTTTAGAACAGGTTCACCCTGTGTAAACAAACCAAAGTGATTCATTAATTTGTTTGGACAGTCTGTTATTTTGTGTACAAAGTATATGATCATATATTACATAACTGAGGGGCTGACTATTTATCTGCATGTTATCAGCTGGGTTTGGGAAATGGATGCATATACTGGTTATTGGCCATGTCCATAAATTTTTGCAGGCCAGTTTTGCTTTATTTCTATTGTTGTACTTGAGAATTCAACTTGGTAAATGTATAACTTAAAAAACAAAACAGAGAAAAGCTCCAGAAACTAGAAGCATAATTTCAATGGTTCCTTGTGGAGACGTGTTCCTTGTTGGTTTGTTGAGTTACTATAAAAAGTTGTGCACAAACTGAGAGATTCTTGCGTCTATTGTGCCAATGCATTTACATTTGCACGATCTTGACCCCATATTTAATTGCAGCAGTTACACTTTACAAGCTATCACTAACAACAAGAAAAGATTCTGGAAGTGCTGTTTTACTGTCTAGTGTGTGATAGTGGCAAACGGCTGATCACTCCAGTGGCGTCACTGCCTGAATAGAGTATGAACCTGCTGACCTCCTACTATCTACAACCCTGACCCACAGACCTATGGCTTACTTTCTATGAACTCCCTTCTGCCCTGAACTGTTTGACCTATAGACCTATGTAAGCACCCATTCACTTATTGTGAAACCATGTTTACAATGCACTTACACGAGTATGACCAACAAGCAGCAGAAGTGAAGCCAGTCCAATAAATCACCAAACCAAAAGAAAAAAAAAGCTAATCCACAGGATAACCACTAGCCAAGAAGAATTCCCAAGATTTTCCTGGAAGTGTGAATGAAATTCTGGAAATATAATGGGGGCAGATTTAATACTGAGGCACTGCGGGGAAGGGAAGGGTTCAAAATAGTGCCGAGCAGCGGTAGAGGGAGGGGAGAGTTTAAAATTTGTCAATAACCTCTCCATCTGGAGAGCATAGCATGTAGTGATGGAGGGAGACAGTGTCCTAGATGGAGATGGAGATAGAGCAGGAGGGGGGGATTTCTAGGAAGACAGGAAGAATGTTAAGAGGCCGATAAATTGGTTTTGATCCCATAAAGAAAGGTATGAAGAAAGGAAATGACAAAAGAAATATAGATGGAAGGATCACTCAGGACATACCAGAAAAGACCAACGGTAATAACCAGTTATTATAATCCAACCTAAATGTTCCAATTTTCTTTAATAAATCCAACATAGGTTCAAGAAGGAGAAGAGAGAAGAGTTACCATGGTGATGTGGCAAATTCTGACTGGCTGAGCGCTGAAAGCCAGGAACAATAAGCTCGTCAGGCCTGCGAGTGGAAGTGCGGTCCATCCTTTCCTGTCCCAAAAAAAAAAGTAAAGGACATAAAAAAACATATAAAAAAAGAACAATTTTGACCACGTGGTTAAAAAAAAAGCCTCATGCAATGTGTTTAAGATGTCAGATATTTTAGTAAAACGGGAAGACAGCGTGTCATCTTCACAGAGTTCAAATGGTCGGGCAAAGGGTGGGTTCAGGCCTCTGCTGTCGAGGAATGCCAAGTCAGACATTCAGAGCCCGGTGACACTGTGGCTTTCTGACCCCTCTGACCTTTCCTTTATGCACACTCTCTCCCTGTATCAGGTATACTGAGCTTTATTTTAAACTTGTGAAACTCACTAATTAACTAAACCTCGATGTATTTCATGAAAAAAAAAGATTATCAATCAATTCAATAATTTTTAAAACAAAAAACCCACCAGTCCCAACCCACTTATACAATCTCACACGTCTGGAGATACACGCACACATCCTGCCAAGTTCTTCACACATTGTCTAATTTGAAGCAGCCTCAAGGCAAGAAAGCTGCAGAGGAGAAAGAGAGGGAAAAAAGCCAATGAAATTTTCAATCTTCTCTTTTCCAGGAAAAAGAAGAACGCGGAAGCGTTGCTTCCAGGAACTGCTCGTGGCCAGAGGTCTCAGTCCGCATGCATGCACGTACACACACACTCGCAGCTCCCCTCGGTGCTTCGAAAACATCCATAAATGCCCAGAGCAAGATTTATAACTCTGAGAAGCAGCAGCAGCCAAAAGCTTTCCAAGGAAGGCAACTTGGCTGCAGGGCCTGTGGGCTGAAAGAGAAAGTCTGCAGGCCAGGCTATAGCTAAGACTGAGGCACAATAACTTACAAGCTTAAACACCCATAAATATATACACACATATATATCAAATACATACATACTGCACAACACCAGGTATTACTCCAAATCTACAGAAAGTGAGACTTTTACCAAATTAGCTGAGATGACCTTTTATTTGCATCTTAACTACTAGCAGATCTACTCGTGGCTCTTTCTTTAAAACCTTCCAAAACAAATAGCCTAGTGGTAAGCTAGGCTATGTTAGCACAACGAGAGTAAAACCTTCCATGAGTATGTGGATATCCACCTCAATTTGTATATATATCTTAAGAAAACATTATGAAAATATTATTTAATATCCTTTATATATACCGGTAGGTAAGTTTTCAGCCAGACCACCTCTTTAATCCAGTGCTCAGTGTTTGTGCTAAGCTAAGTGCTAGCTGTAACCCCTTTTAATGGACCTAATCTTAATTTTCACACCAAACCCTGAACACAAAAGCAAATCAGGGATGCTACTCCTTTAAGACAGATGGAAAAACTTTATCACCACACCTATAAAGACAGAATATCTCCATAAACAGCAAAACCTGATACCTAAAGCTAAAATGAGAAGCTGGAAAAAGTACGCAGAGAATTTATAAGTGAATGTTTTTAATCTGATGATATCAAGTGATTTACTCACTGCAATCATACTAATCAATCTTCTCTCGGCACTGTTCAGAGTCTGGGCTTTCCCAGGCACAAGGGTATACACTGTTTGGAATTGGAGGCAGGACGATGTTCCAGGTCTTTAAAGAGCTATCAGTAGCAGCAGTGTTAACATATAACAAGCAAACGTAGGGAAAATTACCCTTTCCTTTGCAGCGCTCTTGCAGTAAAAGGGTCAGCTTTAATGGCCACATTCCCCATAAAAAACTCACCATGAACTCTAAATCGAGTAGTGATGCTACATCAACCGTCACCTGGGTGGTTATATAGGTAGAAAAAGCCAATTTTGAAAGACATGAACCCGTTTCTTAGAAAGAGGCACTGATTTTCCGCTAAAATCATTTACCAGATGTGGACTGTTTTGCACAATAGTTATAGCAAACAAAACAGCATTCTTCATATAACTAGTCTTGAGGGCATACTGAGTGGCACAGTACATGAAGGGAGGCTTTCTTCTTGTAGTTTTACGGCTTGTGAGTCATTCCTGCAGTCGTGTGTTTTCTGTTTCACAACACACAGCATCGTTTAACAAATCTCATTTACACTGAATTACTTTGAATGTTCATCTTAGTATTTTTCCATAGAAGTTTATTACAGTTATGGAGCCTTTTTAGCATTGTGGCTTTGCATTTATGGGCAAGCATAAGTCTGATCAGGGGGCACGGAGGACCAAAGTTATTAATACAGTACTGTGCAAAAGTCTTGAGTCAGTGTTTGGTGTAACTGCTTTCCTTCTTCAACACCGTCTGAACCCTCTTAGGAAAGCTTTCTTGTCATTTCTTTAACTAGTCGTCAGGAATAGTTCTTCATGAAGGACATTTAAATCTTTCCTTTAGATCTTGCCTGCCTTTTGTTCTGTTTTCTGTCCAGAGGAGCCGACACTGCTTCAGTAATGTTGAGATTTGGGCTAGTCCAGGACTGATACTGGTCCTCTGTGTGTGTTTTTTCTATCCCGGTATGCTTTTACTAGATTAGCAGTGTGTTTGGGATCATTGTCTTTTTGAAAAATAAAGCTGCTGACAGATGGTTTTGCATATTACCATTCTGCGTTTATAATTGCACTAATTTGGCTAACATCCTCAACACAGCTGACTGAAATGCAGCCCCCAATGCATTACTGTGCCTCCACCGTGTTTAACACATAGCTTTTCTCCCCACTGATAGCCACCAAGATCATTTTTCATGAGATTTTGGTGAACAGCTGCTACGTTGTCTGAGTGAAATACCTTTTTATGTTTGAATGACACATATAAAATAATCTGAAATGGAATGAAAATTAATGAAAAAGCAGCCAATGTCCAAAGAAAACTTTGAAAGCCTAGAGAACTGCTCAAAACCTTTTTAACATATTAAAAGAAAATCTGTCTCATTGGAAGCAAAATATAAAGAAATGAATGGCGTCAGATGCTTATTCACAGCACTGTATCTCTCATTATGACCCTAAAATGACTGGCTTGCCCAAAGCAACCACAACAACACAGCACTGTGTAATATGGAAGTAAACAGTGAAGCCACTGTGGACAATGTTCATCTTTGTTTTATGTGCAGTAGAAGCACATCTTTTTGTTTTTTTGTGGGGCAATAACTGCAATTTCTGTCTGTGAATCCAGAGCCTAAGACTAGAAGTTGACTTTAGTTCTTAACGGAAAATGATAATTTCTTAATGGTGCCACTATAAATACTTCTGGTCTACTGATGGGAAGCTTTTGTATCTTTGACAAATCATACAATCTCATCCAACTTAGCCAAAATACTTCTAGATGCATTAACAAAAATCTGTGCTAAAACCATCTTTGAAAGACTTGCTACGTTGGAGGTAGCGGTGTTGGCTGCACGTTCTTTTTCTCAAAACGATGCTTTGATTCTCCGTCTCGCTGTCATATTACGCTGATTTCCAGAATGTCTCTGGGCGAGAAACTAGCATTAAATATTGAAGAGCAGTTTTCCAAGATTTGAGTGATTTCTTGTCCTGGGTTTTGGAGCATTAAAGCTATATCTCACTGAACGAATGCTGTGGCTCTACAGTTTCCATCAGCTTGACATACTGGGGTTGCTTTTGGACAGACATCCTGTAACTTCTCTTGACATCGCCTTCATAAATAGCGAGCTCCCCTTTCACTCCATTGCCCAAAGCACTGACATCAAGGCACTTCAACAAAGTGCTTCAAAGGCTGCGCTTCCTCGAAAGCACAAACACAACTGAGCGTGCCCGTCACCATGCTCGCACATAACCACTTACCTGACCTCTGAGAATATAGAGACACAAACTGTCAGGCAGAACAGACATGTTTAGGAACAAATGGTATCAATGCTGACGCTGAAGGAGAGGAGCAGAGGTTAAACGCTTCATTCTTTCCGTTCTTAGCGGTTAAAGTCATAACTCAGCAGAGCTTTGAGACTGTGGACAGTGGTCTCTTGGTCAGTGGAGAGCATGTGCGTGCACATTTACAAATACATCCATAAGAAAAAAAGGGAAAGCAAAGGTCGCTGCCCGTTTAATCTGAGACCTCCCTGGCACAGGTCCAACGCTCTCAGTAAGAGTGCGAGACACAGGAACACACATAAGACTTTGCTGCCCAAATTCCCAAACATGACCACCATTATGTATAGCGTTATGTAAGTACAAAGAAAAGGGGCTTATTTGCTCCTTATCTCTAAACACTGAGCATAAAGTCATTGCTGCGCAGAGACTCCATGTGTGCCATGCTGTTTCATGACAACTGGCAAGCTTTACATGAGCAACATACACACAAACCAACACAAACAGAGCAATGTTGTAACCCACTTCTCTCCATCAAACTATCAAACTTTGGTTTTTCTCTGCTACATGCAGGGTGGAGGAATGTTGTTTTTCGATGGGGATTCAATTCACTATTCACTGCAGCCTTACTGGGGCAAAACTCTTTCCTGGAAGCTAACGTGAACCAGTCCAACTTAATGTCAGCTCAGCAGGGGCTCAGCAGTCCCACAGTTTGGGTGAGCAGGATTTTTGTCCCTCCACTAAGAGAAAAAAAAAAGCCAGCTGAGACTACATCACCTCCATCATTCCATGGGTCCCAGCAAGACATCATACCATCAATCCAGTGCTTTTAGGCCTGTCACACAACAAAGCCCAAACTTGTTATTGTTGTTTGCTTAGCACTCTATTTATAGACCTCCACGAAGCTCTTTAGCCAAATTCTTTAGGTTACTGGAGGGTTGGAAAGGAGAAAATCCAAGCTGAGAAACAAAGGGCTCATTCTGCAGGAGTTGGACAGTGGAACCAGGTCTGTCGTGTTGCACCAATGCCATATTTCACCAAACTAAGCTGGGATTCGCTCACTTTGAGGCAAGCAAACTTTAGCCCATAGCTAAACTTAAACCTTGGTCTTGCCTCATAATCAATATTTCGGTGGTTTCATCTGTTAATGTTTATCTTGGTTATCCAGTTGACATATTCAGAACAGCAGCTGGTTTCCACAAAAAAAGCTCTGCTCATCGTTACTGCTAAGCACATTCAAAGGTGGCTAGCTTACTAGGAAGTCGGAGAACTGAACAACTGCAATTATTCTTGGAGCAGCAACACAAATTTCAAACAAATGATAATTTAACTATCTGTTACATATGAATAGGCAACTGTTTGCTAGTCTCTTGACAATGTTATAAAATAATAATGTCATATTTTTTTATTTACTACTCGGAGAATATCAATCTTTTCTATTATTTGTATCCGTTTTGATAACATTTTAGTCTCCAACTTATTTCTAGCACAGCAGTTAGCCAACTGTAAACTTTGTGCTGCTGCAGTTGGGCTGAAGACACCAGTGCATGATCATGTTGGTTTTTACGGCCATTTTAATAGTCAGAGATTATACAGAGGGCACTATTACAACAATTTGAAAACATGAGACGTGGGAAACACTTGGTAAAAAAAAACCCACTTGGCAATGGGTTTTTTTTTCCGGCTTTGACTTCTCCTCCAATAACAGCGCTGATGTGGCAGTATTGTCTTAGTGGCGACACTTATTGTATCGCAGCAGCAACCAAGGCCTTAAAAACAGGAATAAATATAATTGACTGTTAGGTGATGTTGCCTAGTGCACAAAGCAACCAACCAACGCGAGCCACCAACCAACATTAGCTATCAACCAACATTAGCTACCAACCAACACGAGCCACCAACCAACAATAGCTACCCACCAACGCTAGCTACCAACCAACGCTAGCTACCAACCAACGCTAGCTACCAACCAATGCTAGCTACCAACCAATGCTAGCTACCAACCAACGCTAGCCACCAACCAGTGCGCTAGGTAAGCAATGTCCCCTAGTGCACACTGCATGAAACAACCAACGTAACTGGTATACCGAGGCCTTTAGTGTTAGCATGCACACAGGACAGCACCATCTTCTAAAAGCATGGCTGTAAATGTGCACCATGTCAAACAGGCAAACTCATAAAAATAAAATAATTTTTGTTCAGTCCAAGATTATACCAAAATTTGTCTAAAATTACACAAAAATTAAGAATTCTTCATCAACCAGCAAGTGTCACTTAGTCCTAAAGTTGATTCTCTGTTACATGAAAACTAACTCCAGTTTAACATTACTTTGATTCACGTTCTACCAACAAACCCACATACAGCTGGCACATTAAATGTTTACCTGGTAGTTCGAATGACGTAAGAAGTAGTCAGGGCATCCCGCTAATGCCATGATGTTCCTTCAGCGTTCCCTCTGCAGGGAATAACCCTCTGGTCTCACCACCACTCTGCACAAAAAAGAAACAGACTGAATGAAGAACAGCACTAAAATCACAGAGAAAATTAAAGACTCATTAAGAAAAAAACCACAAGGTTAAAATGAAGTTTTAATTAACAAACCTCACTAACTACTAAAGGTGGATTTGGGATTTTGTGCTATACATTACACAAGAACTTTGCACAACTGGTATCAATTTTCTAAAGACAAAAGTCCTGTACCTACTTCTCACCTAAACAGCAAAGCTCGTCTGTGCGACTTAGTGTGCA